AGGAATATTGGAGCTTCAGGGATGTGTAGGTGGTGTTCGTGCACTCCGAATTAACTGAGGCTACCTTCCCAAGTTCAGCAGCTCCTTCGGGCAGGAACTGGTCAACGATCGGGCCACGGACTTTTCACTTGCACGGCGGATTCTCTCGGACTACCATCCCTTGCAACCAGAAATGATCATGCAGCTGGCCGCGCAACAGCAAAAACAGTTCCTGTGCCCGGGCGAGGTGAAGAAGTTCGTGGTCCCAGTGCCGTGGGAACGGCAAGAAATACCTCAAGTGGCGCAGCGATACATGGACTGTGAATGGAGAAACGACGACATGAGTTTGCTGGAGTTTCTCCGCAAAGCGGGAGCGGACGGGCAAATTTCACAGAAGTATCGTCGGCAGCACCGCCTCAGTTTTCGCCGCTGCAACGTTGCCATTGAGCTGGAGCAATGGATGAATAGATACCAGGCTGATGGGCAGGTGCTGGTCGCCGCCATCACCTACACCCGTTCCAGCGATCGCCACTGTGGGCAATGGCTGTTGCTCAACGTCCCCTTCCGGAAGGTAGACGATCTTTGGCAGCCAGATGCGGCCAGGCTTCCGCAGAGTCTTCGTTGTCTCGGACTGTGTCTTCTACATCGACCTGACTTCTGGCGAAATCCAGACTGCCTGACGGCTGAGATGACTGCAGAAGCCCGCGCGGATTTGTACATCAAGAATCAGCTCAGCATGCTCCGCTCGTGGACGCCTACCTCTCCGGGGAGTTGTCTGTGGAAAGGCATCCGGACCCGCCTCTTCACGGAGTGGCCTCAACACCAAGCGGACCGTTGCAGCTGGCGCCCGAGCAGGCGCTCATCATCCAAACCATCAGCGAACGCGTGGAGTACGCGCTGCAAGCAAGATGGGGAGCCGAAGAGGATGATGCAGAGGCGTGGGGAGTCTGGCTAGACGAACAGCAGCATGCACCATACCAGAACCAAGTATCTGTTGTCCTCGGGCCCGCCGGCAGCGGCAAAAGCACGGCCGTGGAGCAGGCAGTGATGCGAGCAACCAGGCTTGGAGCCCACGTCGGCATCGCATGTCCGACCGGCATGCTCGCAACGCATTACAAGACTCGACATCCAGATCTGGACGTCGACACCGTGCATGGCATGTTCGCCCTCCACTGGCAAGAGGCTCAGACGCTGGACATCATGAAAAAGTACGACATGATCGTGATCGATGAGGTGGGCCAGCTTCCGCAATGGGTATTTGAACGCCTCCTGAGGTTGTGGGATGCTGCCGACCGTCGACCGGCTCTTGTGTTCGTCGGCGACTTCTGCCAACTCACGGGCGTGGACGGCACCACGGCCAGACAAAGCCCAAGATGGGCGCAAATGTGGATCATGCAGCTCCGAGACATGAAGCGCTGCAAATGCCCACGTCTCAGGTGGAAGCTGGAGCTCCTGCGAAGCGCCACTCCTTCCAAGCAGCAGCTACGAAAAATTTTGAGACACCACCGAGCGCCAACGCACCGTCGTCCTCATGCTGGAGCCCCCACCAGCAATGACATTGCGGAGGTGCTGCGCGAAACACCGCGCACTACATTCCTGACCATTACCCGTCAAGCCTCCAAGAGACTGAATGAGTGCGCCGTGCAGGTGCTCTTCGAACACTCCCAGCCATTACGCCGCATTCCTGGCGACCCGGACGAAAATCCCGACAACTTTTGAGGCCAACATCAGGTTGCGGCCGAGGAGTACCACATGACCATCTACGAGGGCATGCGAGTTAGGATCACTAGAAATGAGGACAAAGAGCGAGGCTTTGTCAACGGCATGGGCGCAACCGTGCAACGCATGCGCAGAAGCGGCGTGCAAGTCATCACAGATGCGGGGCGGATCCTTCTCGTGCATCCCGTCACCCACGAGATCATCCTGTCGGACGGCTCCATTCGTAGGATGACCTTCTTCCCCCTCCGCCTCGGATACAGCACCACGCTACACAAGGTCCAGGGCGCGACTCTTTCGCACATCACGCTGTGGCTGGATAGGCCCGGAGTTCGAGCAGCCCTCTACGTCGCCCTATCGCGAGTGCAATATGACGAGGACTGGTGATTCATCGGCGACATCGGCATATGGCATTGCTTGCCAGCGAGACTCTCCTGAGAGCGATGACCCACATGCGCCTTACATGTGCACCTACGGTGCGGGCAGAGCCCCCGTACGCACCAGGAAAGTAGAGGCAGCGTGTACCTTGAAAGAAAAAGCTGCGTGCGATTCATCCTTCAACACACTGAGTTCCGTGCATTCCACGCCTGCAACAAAAACGCTACAACGTAACGTGATGTGCCACACCAGCGAGCTGATGTAAGTGCGCGTGCTGCTTTGGCTCTTGGTCCAGGTAGCATGTATCGAATAGTCACATAGCCTGGTAGGGTAGATGGCAAACAGGATGAATGCCAGAATGAAACCAGTTGAGTAAAAGCATTCATGAGACATGACCAGTCGTTGTAGGTCCGTCTTTTGTAGAAATACGCTGAGGTGGGGATCTTAGCTGTGCTCCAAGTTTAAACTAAATATTGCAATCCGGAATGCAAGTCTGCAGCGCTATCCAAGGTCGATGAGCTGAAGCAATCGCTCGACCCTCAACTTGCCAACAACCTATTTGGCTCTAATGAGCATGAGCCTTGACCTGTTAGGCTTCTGCAGAGCACGCCTCCGAGAAGAGCAAGAGTGAGATGCCTGATGAGGCCTCATTTCGCATGTCGCAGTCTGATATGTTCAGCCGCTAGTTGCGTATCTCTGTTCCAATGGTCTATACAACTATCAGTCTGAAAACCCTGAAACATACACAAAAAAGAGAAGCGGTAGACAAATTAGCCAAACTGCCAGAATAAAGCGTGACTAACCTTTGGAACAGTATAGACATCCACGAAATGAATGTCAAAACAAACCGAAACTGTGTAACCGTGCAGAAATCCGCAAAATCATCTAATGTTGAAGCACGACCAAAACTGTGGAACGGTATAGAATTCCACAACTGTTCGCTAAACCCTGTTCCTAAACCCTGCTCTTTAGGATTTAAGCCCTAAACCCTGTTCGCTAAACCCTGCACGCTAAATCCTGTTCGGTAAATCCTGTTCCTAAACCCTGTGCGCTAAACCCTGTTCGCTAAATCCTGTTCCTAAATCCTGTTCTTTAGGATTTAGGCTCTAAACCCTGTTCGCTAAACCCTGT